TGGTTAATATTTCTCACATGAGCAATGTGGGACTAAATGAATTTTTTTTTTTAATTCAATATGGAACATGGACATGTTCCAACAATCCCCCACTTGAATTTAAAAAGGTGAATTTGGAAGTAACGTCAAACGTTTCTAAGATTGTGCATAAACAAAGGTGTCTACGACTTGAACCTTTGCATAGCAAGTAGGATTCCGATTCAACAAGAGTGACACAAATGTCTTGAACTCTATCTCAGACATCAAACCCACACACAACCTTTTCTTAAGGTGTATTCTAATAGCCCGTACTTTAATGGCCCTGCACGTGTATCCCGGTTTAGTGAATGCTCTAGGAATCCTGCCTCGAAATTCCATAGGAACCGGCCTAAGTTCCACAATCACATAGGTGAGTCTATCAAGAGTACTCCTGTAGCCTAGGTACTCCCTCATACAGAGTATAGATTTCATTAAGAGTTTCTATTATCTCATCCTCTAATTACTTCAGGATTCATGCTTTACTTGCATGATAATCTCATATTACTCATAACTTGTTATTACCCATTGAACCTATTTCTTGGGATCTCCAGTCATTTAGGTCGGGTTACCATCATGAGAAACTCATTTCTATATAGGCATTAGTCTCATGATATATTATAGACTTTCTCTCTAGCTAATCCTTTCGTCAAAGGATATGCTAAATTTTCATCGGTGTGTACATGATCCACTCTTACAACTCCTTTAGAGATATAGTCTCTAACAGTGTTGTTTTTTTCTTCTAATTTGACGTCTTTTACCATTATAATAATGGTTCTCAGTTTTTGCAATAGCCGCGGTACTATCGCAGTGGATCAACACAACTGGCATGGATTTTTCCCATAAGGAAATCTTAGTTAGCAGGCATATTTTAACTAACTTTCTTCTTCACTAGCAATCGCTAACGTTATCATATCAGACTCCATTATGGAATGAGCCATGATACTTCGTTTCCTTGATTTCTAAGATACAACTCCTTTAGCTATGGAATACATAGCCACTAGTTGCTTTGGAATCATCTAATAATATGTTCCAATCTGCATCACTGTACCCTTCAAGTACAGCCAGAAATTTCTGATAATGTAAACTGAGATATATGGTCCTTTTAAGGTACCTCATGACTCGCTTAATAGCTTGTCAATGCTCGTAACTCGGTTTTCTCGTAAACCTGCACAATAATCCCACTGCATATGCAATGTCGGATCTAGTATAATCAGTGACATACCTAAGATTGCCAATGATGCTCGCATATTTTGTTTGTCTAACACTTTCACCAGTGTTCTTAAACAGTTTCACACTTGGATCATAAGGTGTGCACCCAAGTTTACAGTCGAAGTAATTATACTTCTTTAAGATCTTTTCCACATAGTGTGAGTGATCCAAGGAGATGCCTTGTTCTGATCTCGTGATCTTGATACCAAGGATCACACTTGCTTCACCGAGATCTTTCATATCAAAGTTGTTGCACAACAATGATTTCACTTCATTGATGGTCTGAATGTTTGACCCAAATATGAATAGGTCGTCTACATAGAGACATATGATAGTGCAAATGTGATTCTCATATTTGTAATAAACACATTTGTCACTTTCATTCATCTTATACCCATTTGATATCATTAAGTTGTCAAACTTTTCATGTCATTGCTTCCGAGCTTGCTTCAGCTCATACAAAGACTTGTCTAACTTACAGACCTTGTTTTCTGGTCCATGGATCACAAATCCTTCCGGTTGTTCCATATAGATTTCTTCTTCTAATTCACCATTGAAAAAAGTTGTCTTAACATCCATTTGGTGTACTATTAAACTATAAATAGCAGCTATTGAGATAAGTACCCTAATGGATGTCATTCTAGTGACCGGAGAAAAAGTGTCGAAGAAATCTATATTCTCTCTTTGTCTAAAACCCTTGGCTACAAGGCGAGCCTTGTATTTATCAACAGTTCCATCAGGTTTTAGTTTCTTTTTCAAAACTCATTTACAACCGATTGGTTTGCATCCAGGAGGCAAGTCTACTGAGTGACAGATCTTGTTAGATTCTAGAGAATCTATCTCATCATTAATAGCTTCTTGCCAGATATCTGCATCCAGAGATGACAAGGCTTCTTGAAGATTCATTGGATCTTCCTCTACATTATAGGTCGCATAATTCTTCCCATAGTCTTTAGAAACTCTTACTCTTTTACTTCTTCGAAGTTCTGTTTCTACATCGTCGTTGCTTTTTGTGCTTCTTATCACATGAATGTGACTCGATTGAGTGCCCCCACTATTTCTCGATTTGAAAGGAAATTTTTTTTCTTCATAGAATTCAACATCATTTGATTCTATGATCACTTTTGCATTTAGGTCATAGAACCTATATGCCTCACTGTTTGCTTCACACCTAATGAACACACATTCATAGGCTCTATTAGCAAGTTTAACTCGCTTCGTATCCTGAATTCTGACATATGCCAGACAAACCCAAGTTCTTAAATAAGACAATTTTGGTTGTCTTTTCTTTAATATCTCATAAGGAGAGATATTACTTTTTAACTTGGGAACTCGATTCAGGACATAGCAAATAGTCAACAAAATTTCCCCCACCAGTGAGAAGCAACACCAAAATTTAATATAATTGCAACAACAAGTTCAATAAGAGTTATATTCTTTCTTTCTGCTTTACCATTCATTTCAAAAGAGTATGGTGCAGTCATTTCATGTACAATTCCATGTATAAAATTCATCAAACAAACTAGAATCATATTCAGTTCTCCTATCACTACGAAGTCTCTTAATCTTCTTACTAAGTTGATTCTCAGTTTCAGTTACATACATCTTAAACATGTGAAGTGCTTCATTTTTATTCTTCATTAAATATACATAAGTATAATCAGAATAATAGTCAATAAAATAACATTTACTATTTCTAGTTAAAGTTCCATGTAATTCACATATACCATAGTGTATAAGGTCTAGGGGATCAGATCCTTTAAGAATTGATTTTTAAATTCTTTACAAAGTTTTTAAACATATCAATTTCATTCACAAAAATGTCATTCTTTGTAATGGTGTACAAATCTACCCCAATGGACTGACTAAACTATGCCTTATATAAAAGAAAACCAGAAACAAAATTCTTCCTAATCTCAAGAACATGTATGACGTCCTTCGAGATTAAAGTCTTTCTGGAGGTGAAATTCAACTCCATTTCTCCAATTCTAGCAACATTAGTGGTGTGGACATATCCCAACAACACTTTCTTATCTTTAGTATTCGTGTATGTTTTAAACATAACACGATCATAACAGACACGATGAGAAACACCAGTGTCTATCCACCAATCATCAAATTCATCAACCGTGTTGATTTCAATTATCATAGAAATAAATTTCCCATTAGTCAGTTTGACCTATGCATTAGGGGTAGCACCAGGTTCAAGCCTCTTCTACATTTCTTAATCTTACGACATGATTTTCCATGGTTAAAACAATGGAAAACAACATCATTTCTTTGAGGTGGTGATTGTTGCCTAGTTGGAGCAATTGAGACCATAGAAAGGATCTCATTCTTAATTCGGATCACAACATTGCAGTTCTGATTCTTTAATCATTTTCCAAATGGCTTCAGAACTACACCGAATTTTTATTTGTTGTTTAAAACAACCAAGACTTTTCTTCTTGATATTGTCTCTAAGATTCCTCTTTTTTTAACTCAAGGAGAATAATCAGATTCTAAAAAATACATCTAAATACATACCTTTAGTGATGACCTCATGAGAATTCTTTTTGAAGTTCATAACTTTGAGTATCCACAGATCTTTCATCTACCATCTGATACTTTTCGTAGTTGCTAAAATCATTCTTTTGTTCTCCAGCTTCTTCAATGCTTGTTTTTCATAGCCTCGTAAACTTGTTTTGGAGTATCGCAATTATTGTAATAATCATATAGATCATTTGCGAGTCCATTTAGAATGTTATAATCATTCTCTTTCTATAAGGAGATTTCTTCCTTTAGCTGTAAATCCTTCTCTTTAATCTATGTTGTAAATTCAGATTCATTGAAATTAATAATTCAATCTAAGTTCATAGATTTCTTTCTATTCGTTTGTTCAACTGATCCAAGTGGAACAGTAGGAATGTCATCGGTCAAAATATTGACAAACTTCTTTATGGTTTGGAAAAACCTCACTTTTGTTGCCAACTTTTGAAATGCACTCCTTCAAACTAGAACGGTTTGTCCGAGACAATCTTAGAAGTACCGATAATTTCTTCAATAGCCATGGCAGTTTGAAACGTCTTAAAATTGTTGGTTCATGATTTAAAAAATGTTGCCACTGAAGAAATTACCGGGTTGAGTCGCGGATCAGTTCGCTCTCTTTAAGACGTTTCGCGGTACTGCCCAAAATTATGCAAAGCAGTCGAACTACCACGCCGCCTCCAGGATAAAACAGCCCAGTTCTATACTGTACGATTACTACTTGCACGATAGATAATCGGTCTAGAAATACACCCTCTAATGGTACTAAGACCATTCAAATATGGTATAAATACCACCGTAGTATCTGATATATTTACCAGTCATAAATATTTCTCAAACCAAGAGAAATTTCAATAATTCTTCAAAGAGAATTCAATAATGATCATTTTTGATCACTCAAAGATTTCTCAAACAAAGAGAAATTCGAATAATTCTCTAAAGAGAATAAAAAAATTATACTTGAAAATTTCTCAACTCAAACGAGGAGAAATTAACATTATTCTCTATAAAGAGAATTCAAGAAAATACTCGGAAAATTCAACGAGTAGAAAGAAAGGGGAAGAAGTTGGCGCTTCGACAATTCGAAAGACGCAGAGTTATGAGAGTGAGGAAGGAAAAACTAATAAAATGTTTTTGGTGTATTTTGTAAGGAAACAAGTGACTTCCTTATATAATAAAGTGAGATGGTTAATATTTCTCACATGAGCAATGTGGGACTAAATGAATTTTTTTTTTTAATTCAATATGGAACATGGACATGTTCCAACACATAATCTGTGAACAAGATAGTTGATCTTTCTCCCAAAAGCAGTCCTATAAAACTTGTCATGTTTTCCAACCGTTGTCAAATTAAACTTCAACAGAGTTTCACGAGTCTTAGAGAGGAGATATAAAGAAACATTAACAAAGAGAGAAACAGGTAACAACATTATATAAAAGGCTTTCACCTTTTCCTTCACAACTGAAAATGATAGAAAGACATTAACAGATAAATCAAAAAAGAAAATGATAGAAAGACATTGATACATAAATAATTAGGTGGTTGCAAATTATAGAGTCATATAAAGCTTCAAAAGCAAAATTTTCTACAAGCCTAAACTTCAAGTAATCAAGGAAGGTAATATAACTTCACCCCATCATTGAGTAATATGTATACACTTCGGGGACAGCAAGCTACATGGATCAATTTCTGTCGTAATGTTCTACCCAGAAATACACATGAGGACAAGGCCATAAAACCATCTTCGTTATTGTCAGTAAATGTAAATCTGTACTAATCTTCATCTCATCTTAGCTTTCTATGCAAATATGAACCATGTACAACTCTGCAAGATACCATCAAACAAGAATAAGGATATTAGTATCAGGTTTTCATTTTTTTCAAAAACATGACGCCAAAGGAAGTTCAATGAAAGACATGCATCTCTACTTACTTGTGAGACTCTAAAGAAGGTGCACGATGTTCAATTGAAGATGGATTCAATTGGTGTTGAAGTTGAACTGCGATACGACCAGCCTCGTCTCCTCCTGCAGATTCAGGAGACCCCTGGAAACTTGTCACTGCACTTTTTACAGATGATGATGACATGCCTGCAAAGAAAACACCTTACAAATGAACACCAATAGCTTCAACGAACAAAGATCAAAAAGATTGAGAAATCGAATCATCTGATTTGATCCGTTCTCAATCGCCACAACCACAGGTGGCAAAACATTATCCAAATCAAAATTATCATTTGTCAATTGTCAGGTCAAACCAAAATACCTATCATATTGTAGTCAAAAACTACATATAACTATGATAAAGTACTACTTTAACCACAAACAATACCTTGAAGTAAGATCACAATACAGAAGACAACAGTCAAAACCATCGAAAACACGCCACTACTCAGAGACGGCGACAACGATTTAGCCGCTTTCATCTTCTTCAACGCCTTCATCCGCTCTACCCTGGCACGCTTCAACATAGCAAGTTGAGTTATCTCCCTAATTAACTTCTGGTCAGCAGCATCCAACGACGGCCCTCGTGGAGCTCGCGGAGGTTTCGCCGCCTTTTTGTTACCAGACTTTTTCCTCTTGTCCTTAACTAAACAATTCTCTACACTTTTCACAGACTCTTTCCCAGGCAACAACTTGTTTGTTGTCACTTTCACCATGTCCATGGAAACAACACTATTTCTATCGTCCTCTTTCATAGAATCTCCAACAGAATCACAGTAAATTTTGGTATTACAAGAATCATCTTCAATTATTACTAATCCACTTTCAATATCAACTTCACCACCACCCTCCTCTTTCACATTCATATCATCCATTCCAAACCCTAAAAACTAATCCTAAAACAAAATCTTAACAAAAAAATGATCTCACTTAATCTAGGAACGGAATCCCTGCATAAAAAAAAACAATCAATTAAACATATTACAGATTGATAGAATGAATGAAAATGAAGAAAAAGAGAGAAGGTTTAATGGTAAGAAAAAGTGAAAATACCTTTGAGGTAAAGAGAAGGAACTCTGGATCCGATGAGGGGACAAAGAGCATAAGAGACGGATACTGGCTTTATCGGGAAACTGCCTCACTGCAATTTCACCTGTTGCATTCAAATCTCTCTCTCTCTCTCTATAGCATGTGATGTCTTCAAATATGGAGTATATATATATATAGAAAAATGTATAGATATAGTTAGAGAGAGAAAATACTGGGAAGGAAGGAAAGAGGGAGGCTTGCCAGTCCACCGACAGTTGGCAACGCTGTATTTTGCTTTGATTTTCTTATGTTCATTATTTAATAATAATAATTTTTTTCTGTATCTTTTTGAAATTTTGGCATGTGTCTGTGTTTTCAGCATTAATACCGTTTTGTATTACGCATCTACACGTTTATTTCTTTTTATTTTATTATTTACTCTCTTGATTAGGTTTCCTTTTTAATTTATTAACTAGCAAATAATCTGCCTAAGATTGTGCTTATGTGGAAAGAACCTGTCATACGTTGTTATGTGATAAAGACTATTATACTAAATTAAATTAAATTAAATTTAAGATCGATCACAAAAAAAAATGAACGTGATATTGTTTAATTTTAATATATTTGATTATTTATTAAATAATATAATTAGAGTTTAATGGAGATAAAAAAGTTGTATACTCTCATTCAATGAAAATAATTATTATGCATATCATTTTAATAACGAGATGTTTGATTGATATATAAATTTTTTTTATATTGTCAATATATTTTTCATTTTTTCATATATTCTTTTCGTTTTTTGTTAAGTTTTGTTTTTATAATTTTTTTTTTAATTATCATATTCAAAGTTCAATGTAATAATAATTATAATTTTGTCAAAATTACTTTTAATTATTTATTATGAAAAAAAGAAAAATATATCAAAATAATTATAAATTATAAATATTATACACAAAAGAAAATTTATAATTTGAAAAGTAATGAAAATAATAATTAACTTTTTTAATAAGTGTAAAAAGTCAAAACATAATAATTAAAAAAAAAACGGAGAAAATAATTATTTATTGTTTTTAATTGGATAAATATAAAATCATCTTAAATATAAGAAAGATATGTCTGTCATGATTTAAATCTGTTAAGCAAAAATTTCAAAAAAAAAAAAATAGAATAAATAAAGAGGTGAATACAATTAGGATGTAAATCTAAAATTTTGATTCGTCTAAAAAAAATTAGAATATGACAAATCTCATACATTGTTCATTTTAAGTTTAAAAATTAAAAAATGTATATTATTGATTGTACTCAAAAAATAGGACGGAGTGGGAGAAATATATTAAAAAGTACGGACTTAAAATATTAAAATGGAAAAAGTATTGCCATTATAGTTTCTTATAAGTAGTTTATTATTTACCATTTTCTTAACAATATACTCGTACTTGTAACAAAAAAAAAAAACTATATACTCGTACTACTTTTTTTTATACAATTGCTATATAATTTAATTTCCATTGTTGAAAAGTGTCTATTTCTTTTTTTTTTCCTACTTTTAATAAATGCTAATGCTAAAAAAAATTTAAAAGTACTAGTGCTACTTTAGACACCACTAGATTTTAAACTATACATACTTCTTGCAAAAAAAAAAAAGTGAATAGTACATCTTCACCGACATTTATGTTTTGAAGTGCATTTGTTCATGTCAATAGTTGTAATAATTATAAGAAACAAAACAACCAAAGAAATGAGTTTACAAATGTCATATAAAATCTTATTTAGCTTAATTACAATTTTAGTCTTTTTATTTAGTTTTTTTCTTGATTTTGATTTTTTCATTTTAAAAATTATTATTTTAATTTTTTTTTAAATTATATGTTTGAATTTAGTCTTTCATTCAATTTGATTTTTATTATATGGAGGGTAAAGGTGTTTCGGTTTAGAAAAAAAGGATCTGACATTGTGATTGTTATATCAATAAACAATAGTGTGGTGTTAGAAGAAGAAGATCAAGTGTATTAGGTGAAAATATTATTTTCTCACTTTTTCTACTTTATTTCTCATATCTCTTTCATTTATTGGTTCATGATAGTTAGAAAGAGAGAAATATCATTAGCTAAATGAAAGAGGCACTACGAATTAGTCTATAAATAAATTTTGAGAAAATAAATTATAACTTAAAAGTATTAGTGCAGTAGTTTGATTCTTGAAATAGCGATTTTTAAAGTGGGAGGATCAAAATTAAGAAAAAGAATAAATAAGAGGACTAAAATTGCTATTAAACCATCTTACTTTTAAGTTTTTAATATATTTTATTCACTTTTTATAAATCAATTTTAATTTCTTTTGATACTATTAATCAAATTTAATAAATGTAAAAAAAATTAGACTTAAATACACGCACTAAAGTCTTTGTTTTTTTATAGAATTTTAGTTCTTATTTTAAAATTCAGTCTTTTTACTTATCGTGTGTTTGGTTTGAGTAATATGAAAGAAGGAGAGGGAAGAAGAAAGGATAAGAGGGGAGGAGATATTTTTAATAAATTACGTTGGATTCAATTTTTAAGAGAGTAGAGAAGTAAAATTCTTCTAAATCACATTTTTTCGTCTATCAAAACGGAGAGATTTAGAACAGTGGATGTGAAAAAAATGATTTTTTATATTTAATAAATTAAATATATTTACTAAAATATCTTCAATTTTATTTTAGTATTTCAAAATTATAATTTTCTTTTGTGTTTCTGCTTCTCTTTTGTCTAATTTTTCTCTATTGTCTTTATCAATTTATTATAATGATTATTCACCTTCAAATTAATTTTTTTATTTAATATAAATTATAATCACTGCAGTTTTCTTATTATTTTTATTTTTATGTTAATTTTTTTAATTTTGTTATATATTCTATTATATTTTCTTTTGATTTATATATTAAAATTGTTATCAACATGTAGTTTATTTTGTGTCGATAGTAATAGCACACATTAAGTGTACTCGGTTTTTTTAATGTTATGTAATAAATTATAACTTTTTAATCACTCAGTATTACACATTTTATTTTCAAAAAAATATTTATGAATTTTTACCTTTGAATATTATATCACTTATATAAAATTATAAAGATAAAAATATAAATTATTAATAAAATATTTCTCTTCCTCTCGTGAACCAAACAAATTTTGAATCAAAATCCTTCTCTTCCCCTCCCCTACACTCATTTGAACCAAACATTTACATCATTTAAAAAAATTTCTCCCTTCCCATCATCCTCTTCCCTTCTCTCCACTAAAATTTCTCATTTCCCCTCCCCTTATTTGAACCAAACTGACTTTAGAGGAATAGGCTGGAGTGGACTAAATTTTATCAAACTTAAACTAAAAAAAAACAAAATTTAAGTCTAGTTTTTATAAACTGTCGTAGACTTGCTTTTAGATCTGGGTCTGACATATTCAATTGTAAATAAGCAATTCATACTATTTTAGTCTCAGTCTTAATCTGATTGACATTTTAACTTAATTAAAAGTCTATTTTATTTTTGACATATATAAATAAGTAATTCAAATAATATTATAATAGACTGATAAATTAAAAGGCTAATGAAACTAAAATATTATTTGCATTGATTTATCTAAGTTTACTTATTATCATAAGTTTCGTGAGACTGTTTATTTAAGAAAATTTATGAAAATAATATATTATATTATTTATAAGTGTTTTCAGCTTATTTTGATAAGTTCTCCAATATAATTAAGTATAATTTTTTATTTTAATTTAAATTATAAAATATAATATAATAATAATAAAATTATTTATATTTATTTAATAGGTTAATTTGATAAACTTAAATTTTTTTAATAGTTTAAACTCTTTTTTTTAACTAAATAATCTTATAAAAAAATTTGAGCCTTTTTCTATTTTAAAAAAATTCTAACTTAAACTTTACCTTAGTACGCTAGACCATAGACCCTATTAATTATTCTAATCTATTCTCATTCTTATTTTCAATTTCGTAGATCTATGTTTATTTAATATGTATAAATAATACTCTCTCATAAAAAAGGGTTATGTTATTTAAAAAAATATATTATAATTTAAAATTATATATTTGATAATAAAAATTATTTATAAAATTTTCAAGATACAAAATAATGTTAATTAAAGTAATATATTTAATTAAAAAATTATAACTAAAACAAAATAATTTTATTAATTAAAATTTAAATAATTAAAAAGTCAAATCTTCATGAAAATCAAATTTTATTAATTAGAATTTAAAAAATTCAACTCTTCGCAAAAAAAATGAAATTTATATAAGAAAATATATAATCTTCTTATATAACTAAATTAATTAAATCACACTTTAAAAAATTAAATCGATAAAAATTTTGGTCAAAAGGAAGTTAAAAGGGGGAAAGTGCTAGGACAAAAATGGATAAAGAAGGGAAAAGACTAAAAGGCAAGGTTAGCTCATAATTGAATTGGTCAAAAGATAACACAAGAGTAAAATTAGGAAAGGGGGAAAGACAAGGTTGGAACAATAATATGTATCACTAAAACGAAGTTGAAAGAGAAAAATATTGATGAAGTGACTCTAAATATAAGAGGAGGTGTGAGTTAAATTTTGTTAGTTAGAAATTGAAATATCTAAAAAAAAAATTTTAAAAACGGTTTATGATCCAATAGAGACAAAGTATTGGAGAAGAGGAAGAATAAAAAATTAAAGAGGAAATAGACAAATAAATGACAGAAAGTAAAGAGATAGAGTCATAGAAAATGAACTAGAGATTTATACAGGTACGGCCTACTACTTTGCCTACTCCTGTTCTCAAGAGCTTTATCTTAAGAATTTCACTAATAATAGGTCTTGAGATTTTAAGGATATATGTCCACAAACCTTTTTACAATAAATAGATTTTACAAAGGTTGATCCCTAAACCAAACAGAGCTTTTAACAGGTTGAACTCACAAACTAAATAGAGATTTTAATTGGTTGATATCCATAACCAAACAAATATTTTGATAGGATGATCTCAAGAATCAAATAAGAACATTTATCAAGAGAAACACACTCTTGAACAAGAACTAATATAGCACCTCACCAATACAACCAATATCTCACAAGTATTTTTCACTCTCTTAACGCTAAGCCAGAATAAGAAAATAGAGAAGAAAATAGTAGAAAATAGTCATTATAGTTTAAATTTAAAAAAATTGTGTAAAGTAAGAACGAGGAGAAACCATCTCGTAGTGTTATATTTGTGAGAGTCCCAAGCAGGGG